TAAAGTTGACTTTCATTCTTTTGAGATGTTTTGAGTGAATTCTTCTTCTTCAAAAAGAGTTAACAGATGTTAACAGAAACTAGTCCTGCGTAGGACTTGCCTACATGGAGCCTATAGCCACTATACGGCTATACCATAAATGGCTCATTATGGTGTGATAGGCCCAAGTAGAAAATCTCCTCATAGGGAGGTAGCTTCAGGTTGCACTGGATGGCCTGCTCCTTCATGCAGGCTCGCTTCAAACCCAGGCTCAAGCCGCCGGAAACCATGAAGTGCTTCGTCAAGCACCTGAAAAACATCCACAGCATCAGGCTCTGGATCACCAGGATGATGCCGAAGGCAATGCTCAGGTCGGTGAATACCCAGTCAGCCAGGGCTCCACCAGCAATGCTCATCGTCGAGCTCGTGCTGCCCTCATTGGGCTCAACTTCAATTCCAGCTGCACCTTGCAGCAATGCCATCATCGCCACAGTCAGGGCGTGCTTGCTCACATGCTGCAGGGACACAGCATTCACACTCTTTCCATTCTCCTTCTCCTGAATCGCGCCGAGGCGATCCTCAATCATGTAGTTGCCAGTGCCCAACTTCTCGCGAAGCTCATTGAATCGCTTCACAGCCAGGCCCTTGGCGCCAAAGTCGGCCAGGTTGTCCTGCGTGTTCACTGCGTGCAGGCTGAAGAGCTTCCGCTGAAGAGCTTCTTGAACCCATAGGCTCTTGACCTCAAGGCGCCGAATGCGTCCAACACCTTGCCTCTGAAAGACGCCACGTGCAGCGCTGCTGTCCAGATAGACCTCCATGTCCACGGGGAAGCCAGAAAAGGCCAAAACCTCCTTCATGAAAAGGCCCTCTGGACATGCTGCACCGCCACCGTTGAACTCTGCCTCTCCATTGCTGAGGCACAGCATCTGCAGGCTGCGGGAATAGCTGAAGAACAGGCAATTCCCCACACTGAAAGTTGCACAGGCGCAACTCTTCCTCGTTTTCTTGCAGTTTGCCCAATCCATGTCGGAGTGGATCGCCAGCTTCTCGATCTCACCGTTCTTTGGGAGCCACACTCCATAGTCTTTGGTGCCCTGCAAGTACCTTGTCAGTCGATGTAGCTTCGCCATGCTGCCATCGTAGGGCTCCTTCATGTCTCGGCTCATTTCTCTCGCGGCGAACTGAATGTCCGTCCTGTCGTAGGACAGGTAGAGCGCCACACCCACACCAGCTCGAAAGAGCTTCACACTTGCCCCACATAGCTTCTTGCCCGCCTTGATCTCGGTGCGCGTGTAGGGAGTTGGTGCTGGGTTGCAATCCTCAAGGCCCAACACGCGCAGCAGGTCGTTGATATATTTGGCTCGCGGCGTCAGAAAGATGCCGTCTTCCAGAATGTGCCTCGTCCTCTTGAGGTGTGTGAACTTTTCACCAGGGCTCATGGGATGGATCTGACTCTTCATCTTGATGCGGTCATGGAGCTGCATCTCCAAATCTTTCAAAGCCTTCATAGGTCCGGTGGCATAGATATCATCCATGTGGACCTCAATGACCACGCCACTTGCTGAATTGTAGAACAGCCACGGTGCTGCAGGGTTGCGTCCAAAGCCAACCTCGCCCAAGTGTCCAGCTGTCCATTCGACAAACTTCTGACCGGCAATGTGGCGTCCATACCACTCTTTCTTCAGCTTCCAGGATCTCGACGCCACGTGCCTCCTGCCGCGCGATCCATTCTTTTGGTGCTTCCATGTAGGCCTCTTCAGAGATGGGGACCTGCCAGAATGCATTCTCGGCATCTGCAGTCATGAAGCCATAACCCATCTTCACTCCAATCACATCGATCACTCGGGAGGTCGAAGTGCTTGAGGCAACTGCGAACACATCTGTTCGTGGATCACCGCGCTTGAACTCTCGAACGCAGTATCTGCGCCGGATGGAGCCATCTGGTTTGCGTCGCCTCACCCAGGTAGCATCAAGCACCCTCATGCCAGGCTGCCTCTCCACTGGGTCGTAGGTCTCATACTTGTCCATCTTGTCAAACTCAGCCTCGTCACCCTCGGCAATCTCCTCAGGGGTCATGGGCTTGTTCTCCTCGCCGTCTGAGTCATACTGAGTCATTTCCACATCCTCCTCACCGATCGCGATGTCCTCGGTAGGGGCATAGAGTGGGCCAACGTAGATGCCTCCCACGCACGCTCTCTTCTCTCAGCTCTCTCCAACGCTATCGCCAGTCCAAGCACGTCTTGCTGAAATGCTCTCATCCATTGGCCCTGAGGTGTCACCTCCACTTGCAGTGTGCCATGGCCTTGCAACGCCAGACCCTGCTGAGGTCGTCGTCTCCTCCGCCATGGGCTGCAGCTCAGTCTCCTCTTCGACGGTCTCCAATGGCTTGCCAACAGCAGTTGGTGTTGCCGGGATGGCCTCCTTCTCATTCTCCACGGGCAGTAGCACGGGTGTCGGTGGTGCCAAAGCATCCGCCTTTCGCTTCGGTCGACCAATGCTGGTTCCTTGGTCCCAAGGCACTCCGATCATGTTGGCCATCAGTCCCAAGGCACTCCGATCATGTTGGCCATCAGCTCTCGGTCATAGCGCTTCGAGCTATCTGCAAAAATCTTCTCACCGATCGAGCTGAGATGGTCCCTTCTTCAGTCCCCAGAGGTACTCATTGCTTGTCACGCTGTGCCCAAGGCAAATGCCTTTCCTCCAAGTGGTGTCACCCTTTGGAATCACGTTGTGGTGGTGCGCTCGTCTTGACTTGCTCACTGGGATCTTGAAGACCACGGTCTCACCACATGGTAGCAACGGTGAGCTATAGGCACAGTCAAAGGCGTCCTGGTAGGCAGTGCGCTGGTTGGCCTAACCAGGGCCATAGGTTGTGTGACGCATGCAAGGTCATGCCATACTCAGCTTCAATGGCGTACCTCTGAGTCAAAACATCTCCTCTCAGCAGCTTCTGAAATGCACCCATGTGGCCCAGGCTTTGTGACGAGTATCTGGGAGCCTCCTCAAAGCGGATGCGGAGTCCCGGCGCTCCAGGTGCTTTCCCTTCTCGCAAAGCTGCTGCAATCTTGCTCACAATCTTCTTGATGATGGGCTCGTTGTCACTTCTCAGCTTCACATCCGTGTAGCCAAGCTGGGCAATGAAGGATATCAGGGTCTTGGTGACGTAGGGCATCTCCAGGTTCTTGCCTGGAATGGACAGCGGCTCGGACAGCGCTAGCGCCATGCCAGTGCCGGAGTCGACAATCGAAAGCACGGTGTCCGAGCATTCCTCAAAGCGGTCGGCCAGGTCGGTGTTGGTCTTGATGAAGCTGTAGTCCAGCTCGAAGTGATTCTTCGCCAACTTCTCTTCTGTAGTTCTCCGCTTGCGAGGATCATCCATTGCATGGCCCCTCACACAGAATTCGCACCATGGGGCTGGTGGCATGTGAGTTGCCAGATGTTTTTCCACCTCTTCTGACTCAGGCATCTGAGGCACAGGAACAAATGCCACATCTGGTTCTCGTCCTTCTCGAAGTGCTTGCTGTCGTGCACTCTGCTCCTCCACATAGTCCCGGGCTTTCGCTCTTCTTGCATTGAGGGCTGCTTCAGCCTTCTTGAGGCGCGTCCACAGTGTATGCTTGTCTCCATGTTCATCAAGTTCTCTCAGTCTGGCCTTCAGGTCGGCCACATTGCTCCAACCATGTAGTCGGGGATGATCAGCTCGAGCATGGGCTTCATCTCTCATGAACTCTTCTGGCAAAGGGCTGGCCTCCATGGCCTCTTCCTCCTCATTAATGCCAGCATACTCCCAATCATACTGAGCACCCTGCTCCACCACAGGCGCAACTGTCGCCTTGCTGACGTAGTTCATGGGGATGGCCTCGTCATTCTCGATGAGGATGTAGTAGGAGTTGCAGTACAGGTAGAGCGGAATCCTGAACTCCAAATCTGGATGGGTCAGGAGGGGCTTGAACTTGTTGCGCATGTCAGCCACGAAGCCGTTCCTGCTCATCTTACCTGCACTCAGAACATCTTTGCTTGCCATCTCACTGACCTTGAAGTCGGTCACCACATTCAGCCTGTTGCCATTCTCGCCGACGATCTTGTAGTTCACCCTCTTCACCTTGAGCTCGCCGAGGCTTTGTCCTGAGATGCCCGGCAACTGGGCTGATGAAGAAGCATTGTACTTGTCACCTCCAAAGCTTGGTCGACAGAGGTGTTCGTCGCTGCCTGAATCCCACAGCACAAACTTCTCGTGTTCACGGAGTTGGTATTGTCCTGCAAGGTGCCAAGCGTCGATGCCCTTTGCCCGTGCGTCCATGGTGACGCTCAA